GTGATTGGACGAAAGTTATAGGCATCCTCAATCTGTCCTTCAGAGTTGACTTCCTTTGCGAGCATGGATACGTAGCCCGTGGTCCATGTGGAGGGCCACGCGGCCTGCTGTTCACAGACTTGCATCAGCTGAGCCAAGAAGGAAAAAAGGTCAGGACAGGCCTGTCCCAAAAGCCGCAAGTCCTGGGGCTGCCAACCGTCTAAACCTGCACTACTGTTCTTCGTGTTCCGAAGCGTCGCCAGAAGGTCTTCCCCTGTCAAGGGCTGCAGGTCGAAGCTTTCCTTGCGAATGTAGGGCCCATAATGCTGCAAAAATTGCCATGTGCTCGGGCAACTGTGTCGATGCTTGCCAAAAATCTTGTCCCAAGCCGAAATCAAAGCCGTCAGCTGCCGGGAAGGATCAATGGTGTAGGAATCCCCAACCTTCATGACAATGGCAGAGTAGTGCCGATGTTCGCGAAGATACGGGTTTTTCACCTGAAGCTCTTGCGTTTTACGCCAAGACGAAGCCTTGCTCGGACAACTGCGCATGGATTGCTTCCACAACTTCAGACGAAAACTCTGCCTCTCGGCCTGCAAAAACTTCATGGCGACTTGAAGAAGATGCATCACCTTACACGCCACATCCTGACCAGGACGATTTTGCAAAAGTGTGGAGAGGTCGTTTTGCCACTGAGGAGGACAAACGAGCACGATGGATTGTAGATTGCGCCATGTGCGATCAGCCCTGGTTCCGGGCAAGCATTTGCGCAGCTCAGCAGCCTGTCGAAAAGCACGGCCAAGACGACGAATCTGAAGACAATCAGCATGTTCGTGTTGAGCCCTCGGTAGCTGACGTGTCGAGTCAAACTGAATCTTACCTCGAGGTTGACCCAAACGTAAAGGGGCCCCAGCCTGACGAGCATGAAGGAGCAGAAGAGCCTGCTCTGCAACCCGAGACCAAATGGAGGCCGCAGTGTCGATGTCCTTACTGCGAAGCGCCGCGTGAAACTCAATGGGCATCGTGCAAGCAAAAGGTTGCTCTGGGGCAACCAAATGCCCATAAGAGCATGCCTTCCTGGGAGTGAAACGTGAAGACGTTTGTGTCGGGCAGCGAAGAACCACTTCCAAGAAGCTGTGCCCTTTGTCAGTAAACGGGTTGCTTTGTAGAGAAAAGCGGGTGCAAAGCGATCTCGCACTGTTGGAACACCAAATGTGGTCAATCCGTGATCCCGAGCCCTTTTGGCACGTGTGAAGTTTGGGACCACCGCTCAAATCAGCCACATCGTGCCAGGTAGTTGCCAACAAGGATTGCATGTAAGTGTTCGCCTCGCTCTCCGCATTGAAATCGCCAGCCAAAAAAGACGGCAAAGATCGTGAAACAGCGTCTTCGGAAATGCACTGCAGCAGCTGCCGCAGGGTTCGCTTTGCTGCAGAAGATTCGCGAGCGCCTGCAGGACCATACATGTTGTACAGTATGAAGGCACTGTTGTCATGAAGATAAAATAAAGCAGCTTGAAGACGACCTGTGGCCCAAAAGGAATAGCAAGGGTGATTCGAAGGCCAAATGATTGATGACACTTTGGCGAAACGGGCCGCTTTGACCACCATGCCAACACCACATCTTGAGGTCCCAGTAACCGGCGAACCCCACAAGCAGTGTAAAGAAGTAGAACTAGTGAAGAACTGCTGTTTCGCCACTGACAAATGCGTCTCTTGAAGACAAAGAATGTCGTAATTGTAGCTCAAAAGAGTGTCCCAACGGCCAGCCGCTGTAAGGCCATCCGAATTGAATGAAGCCAGCCAGCACGTAGAGAAAGAAGAAGCTCCATGCGTATTGCCACGCAAGGCACGGAGGGCGTGAGAGCGCCGTGCACATAAAATCTCCTCCCAACATCGCTTGACGAGAGGGGGGCGAAAAGCATTAACAGACGCAACGCGTTCAAGTGCTGCGCTGCCTCTGCGCTTCAGGCGTCTCGCCCGAGTGTTGAGGCGGCCGCTTGTCGCGCGGAGTGGCAACCAGCTTGTAGAAGTCCTGCTGCTGCTTTCCAAGGGTCGTAACAACAGACAAGGTGGTAGCATCAGTGTCCATAGACACGCTGCTGGAGGCCTGCTTGCTTGCTGCGAGCTTCTTGGCGACGGCATTGACGGCCTTGAAAATGATCTGAGAGGCATGCCCCTTGCCCATCGAAAGCTGAGCCAGCGCATCGTTGCCACAATTGGTGGAAAGGAAGCTGAGACTCTTCTGATCAAAGTGCTCGATAGCATGAACCTGCCATTTCTGGTCAACGAGAAACTGGTACGCACCCGGCATGCCCGCCGTGATGGGCACACCATAGACCTTCCAGCGACCAAGGGCCGAAATGTCCTCCAAGGCATGCTTTTTGCAGAAGGTCTGCAAATGCTCTGTCGTGGCGAAACGCGCCGCAAACCTATGGGGCGGGCGACGGCGTTTGCAAACGATGCCCAGGTGCTCCATTCCATCCAACATGGACCGAGCTCTCTCAAGTGAGGTGGATTCTGGCAGCCACACAAGCACGGGGTCCTGCAAACTGAAGTCTGACTGACTACTGGCGTGCACCTTGAAGAAGGTTCCATGCGCCCCACTGGCCCTAAGGATCTGTTGAACAAAATGTTCATGTGCGAGGAAAG